GGGAGCCCAGAGCTCATCCAGGCCTTCAGTGTGGGTAGCAGGCACCCAATCACTTGGGGGCATCCCTGTTGTCTCCCAGGGTACACATTAGTAGGAAGCTGGCATTGGGCGTGGAGCCAGGATTCTAACCCAGGGACTCCCAAGAAACATCTTAACTGCTATGCCAAATTCCCACCTCAGAAGGTGTTTTAAAGCATCATAATATGCCAGCTGGAGACAGAATAAAAAAGCAAAAATGGAATTCAGGGCAAGGTGAAATCTGAGCTAGTCTGGGTAAAGATCTGGGAAGCCCCAGGGACAGAAGTGTGGGAAGAAAACTAGAAGGAAGAGTTGTTGGGATCCTTATTTGGGCAAACAACGAGTGAGGTGAGCAGCTGAGTTAGGCTGAGAGAAGAGTCTGCCAGGGAGTGAAGCCATGGCCCAGGAGCTGGGTGCTGGCCTCGCTGAGGGCTGGCTGTGTCAGCTCTTCCTCCACCACAGTGACAGCTGACGCCTCCTTTCCACTCCTCCCAAGATAGTCACACCCTGACCTTGGGGGCAGTCAGGAGCGGACAAAGCCTATGAACGGAAGATGGATGCTCTAAAAATGGTCAATATTGGCAATTTGGCAACCAATCGATCAATTGATCAATAGCATGCCTCCCAAACAAGCTGGCAAGGGTTACATAATAGCATCTTCACTCGACCTTTAATTCTGGGGAGTTCTCTTTAATGGTTAACTAAATAAAGACAACCAGTACTTCATCTTCTCATTCCATATTTCAAACTGTTCTTTTACAGTTAGTTATCTGTGACAGATAAGTTAGTTATCTCAGCCTCCAAATAACACACTATCAATGATTAACTGGTTCATGGTTCACAGTCCTTTGTAAGTTTCTCTAAGAGAGTTATATGCAATTTGCTTTTTGCTCCTGCCAGGACAAATTGCTTCTACGTCCTCTGTCATCCAGGATGATGAACACAGGGAAATCTTGCTTCTCCAGAAAGTGCTGCAGACAACTGGTATACACGGAACTGAATCATGGTGATAAGAACTCAAGTGTAATTCTTATCTCATAGGAAAACTAGAAAGAAAATTGACAGTCTCAAGGTCTGAGAAAGAATAAGACAGAAAATTACCTGACTCACAGTTTATCATCATGGAGGAAGAGATGGACATTTATAAAAATTGAGATAGAACTCACCTAGCATAAAAGCAGGTGGACAATTCAAGTTTCAAAATGAGGAAGAGCACAGAAAGGAGACTGGAGAGTGCTCAGTGGCAGGAACGGGCCTTTCCCAGCTGGACATCTCCAGATACAGAAACAGAGCGTCCCAGTGTGAGGGGTTCAAGTCCCTTCCAGGACTCAGACTTCAAGACTAAGTGGGTTTGTGAATGCTCAGTCTTCTAACTTCTCAAGATTACATTGCCTTCAATGGTAAAATGATAATTTTCATTGCTAAACTTTTTCACTTTTAGATGGGGGGCAGATAGGAGACATAGGCAGGATTGGTTTAGTTGTAGTCTTCATGGAGACAAGAAGCCCAAAGCAAGGGCCTTCTTGTGTATCATGGGGGAAACAAAAAGAAACATAAACCAGCAGAGCAGACCTGTCTACAAAGTGCACTGGTGTGCTCCACTCCCAGAACCACCACCTGGCTCCTGGGTGATAAAAACCCAAGTATGGTCATACAAAAATTTCAACTGCTAGTTGCAGTTTCTATCAGTGTAGCAATGGAATTCTTGGCAATTTACTGGATTTATAAAATCAGCCACCTCCTTAAAAGTTGAATTGAGGGACCAGCTGTGTGGAGCAGTGAGTTAAGCCACTGCCTGTGTTGCTGGCATCCCATATTGGTGCTGGTTCATGTTCCGGCTGCTCCACTTCTGAAACAGCTCCCTGCTAATACACTCTGGCCATTTGTGGAGTGAGCCAGTGGATGGAAGATCCCTGTCTCTCCTTCTCTCTCTGTAATCCTATTTTTCAAATAAATAAATCCTAAAAAATAAAAGTTGAATCAAAAAAGAGACTCTATCATTAACTGCACCATGGAGAGTAGTAAAGAGCATAAAGAACGAAGTAGAAACATGTCAATGCCCAAACTGCAGTTTGAGAATTTCTTTTTTTGTTAGGATTTCTCTTTTCTTTGTCCTTCCTTCCAGGATCGCTCAGGAGGGTTCATGGTTTGCTGTTTCAGGTGAAGCAGGATGGAAGATGTGTTTTCTCAGTCCTAAGTTGAAAGTCAGCTTAGTTTAATGTTACTTGTTAGACTTCTGTTTCAGTTTTAAAGTTTTGTTGCTTAAAACCAACAATGGAATATCAACACTTCAAAAAAATACAATTTCTTTTTACTGAAGAGCTTCTGACCAGCACTATTCACTTCCAGAATTCCAGAGACTCAGAATCAAAAAGAATAGGACATGCTATAGGTTAATTCTGGCAAAAAATTCATTCTTATCAGCCCATAACTTGTCCTTCATTTACAGGTGACCCGGGAAATCCCTGGGTAGTCACTGGCTGGGTGGAAAAGCCTGACACCCTGTGGCCACATTTAGTTCTACAGTTGCTTCTCCAGGTGTCACGGTTTGCAAACTCTGCCTATAGCTGCTACCAGGCATACAGTGGGACCAAGGTGTGCGTGTGCTGTCTGTAAATGTCCTACATTTTCCATGTTACACCTGTTTTACTAGGAAATCCAATCAAAGAGCAGAAGTTTGCAGATCTTCTATTTTATGAGTTTTCCCTTGATTTCCACCTACCACTGACTAGGGGTTATCAATTGAGGATTATTTCCTGGATTTTAGCTTCAGAAGTTGGAGGACTGGGGTAGAGCATTTCATGCACTATAAAAATATTAAAAGTTATTTTTGAAACTCAAAGATCTAGAAAATTAGGAGACTGCTGTAATGGAATGAATATAAAATAGGGAATCAGATTTTATTTTAGCCTTGGTTCTACCCCAACCCAAATATGTCTGGGTAGGGTCATTTACCTTCTGAAGATTTTATTCCTATGAAGTGAAGAAGATGGGTCAGATCATTCCCAAGTTTTGCTCTAGACCTAAACTTGTATTATCTGTCTCAAGGTCGCATTTGCAATGCCTTGCAACATGTTCCCTGGACAGGCATAGTTCTGAGGACACCGAATCTGTATTTCTTATCTTTAGGCATCAATGCCTCTAGCTCTGAAATCCTTCTTATTGTAAATCAATCATATCTACTACTTTTCAATTGCCTTTGTCCTTAAGGGCTAATAGTTCAGTCAGTTTACAGGGACACACTGATATTTTTGGTTCATTTTATAAACAGCAAAAAATGGAAGTCATTGGCTTAAATAAACTGCAAGAAAAATTTACTCATTGGCCAATGATACAAACTCAACCTGAGATCTCTGAACAAGTCTGCATCTTCTTTTTCAGGCTATTCAGATATTTTATGCTGATACTAGGCTCCAGTGATGTCACTCATCTGTCCTTACTGCACTCTGATACCATGCGGCTGCCATCATAAAGTTGGTGGCAGGGACTGGCCACCATTTGCAATGTAATGGCTTTCATGTGTCATTCAATAGACTCAAAAGAAGCCTGTGCTTTTGAAGACAGAACAGTGAAGACATGCCCTGAAACCAAGTCACTGACAGCTTACAAAGGAACAGATAAGTCACACACAGGGAGCTGTGGCAGCACAAGGGAGTGGAACCTAATGAGCTTGGGGATGACAGCTGGTAAATCCTGAAGGATGCACCAGTTAGTGAAGCAAGAAGGGACTGAGGTATTTGTGGTAGTGGTGGGAGGCATTCTAAGGGAAAATTCATTTCATCGAAATTAAGTATTTACTCATTACTTATTGTCTTCCCTACCCCCAATTTGATTTATTTGAAAGTCAGAGCTAGAGAGAGAGAGAGGCAGAGCCAGAGAGAGGTCTTCCATCTGCTGACTGACTCCCTAAGTGGCCGCAATGGCCAGGCTGAAGCCAGGAGCCAGGAGCTTCTTCCTGGTCTCCCACGTGTGTGCAGAGGCCCAAGCACTTGGGCCACCTTTCACAGGCACATTAGCAGGGGGCTGGATAGGAAGTGGAGCAGTCAGGAATTGAACTTGTACCCAAGTGGGATGCTGTTGGCAGCTTTACTCTCCATGCCACAGTCCTGGCCCCCATCATTATTACTATTTTCAAGACATTTTCTAATCTCAGATATGCAGGAATTTGAGGGCATTTGATTCCACCCCAAATTTTCAAACTCAAATTTATTTTGCTTTATTCAGTTGGAACAGTCAAATGCCCTTGTGTATGACTGATCTAAATACTCCTAGGACCTTGAGGTAGATCCTTGGCCGTTTTTGCCAACCTATGTCAAGCCTATAGTTCCTTTCACACCATTAGAATCCAGGATGGTGGCCATGCATGGGTTTAGTCACAGGTTTTATCCCCGTGAAACAGGGAATAGAAGCCTTAAGTCTAAGATAGAATGGATGCTTTGGTAATGCTTTGAGTCTAGTAACAGGAGAGTCTAGGGCACCCAACGTTGGGTAACTATTTCATGCTATATAAACTCTCCTAACCAGTATCTATTCCCCAGCTTCTCTAAACATATTGGTGGATGCTGCGGCTTGCTGACTGCTTGTGACTTTTCTCCAGTGCTCTCATCCACTTCTACTCATTGTTGCAAATAGATTCATTTAACCAAATGGAAGCCAAAGAGAGAAGGAATTTGTATTGCCTGCTCCCTCCCCTCCTAACATGTTATGTGTGTCTTTGTTTTTAAAGCTCACTGTTTCCATTTCTCTTTGTCTTCTCTATCTTCTAACCACACAGGTACCAGATGACCTGTGAACTCCATCAGTTGCCTAGTTATCAAGTTCTTCTGACTATGTGCAATAGCTGTAATCTTCAATCTCCTAATCCAGAATGGGTCTGCAGTAGCAGGAGTCCCTCATACACATTCCCCACTCCTTACTGAGGATGAACAGAGCCCCAGGAAACTCTGCCCCAGGCCTGACTCACTAAGGAACAACTGCAAGGCAACTTTGAACATTTATTTATTTATAGACATTTCAGAACCATTTAAATCAACAGACAACGAATTTTCTTAGATATAATATACTGTGTTTATCTTGAGGTACACATTGGGCCCATTAGATAATGCCTGGGAAGTAATGCAACTGTTAACTTGTAGTTAACAATCTAAGTTTTCCAAGCAAAGTCACTGGAGAGGCAGTTACAAAATACTTTCAAAGAATACGCCAGATTCATCTGAGTTAAGGAAAAAAAAAAAAACCCCAAATTCTTAATTGAGCTCAATTTTGAGGCTTAAACAATATTTTAAATGGAACTTAATATGAAAATGGGAGAAAAGGTTCATAGCTAAGAAATTATCTGAGCCCTACTACATGAGATTGTAAACAAAGGAAATCCGCAATTTGATAAGCTCTATTACAAAATTCATAGGCTAAAAATTAGAGCAGCAAAATTACAGAAGATATTTATATATAAGTTTAACTGAAATCACATTTACTTCTTATTTCTGGCTATCACAATGAGACATATTTTAAAACACCAAGCTTCGAAGACTAAATGATGTGATTTGAGCATGATGAGGCCATAAGAATCCTTTTATAACCCCAATATTACAACCCCAAGGGAGGAAAGTCCTCCTTCCCATCATTTGCATTCTGAACTGCTTACTCTTGCCTTAGCAGCCTTTAGGTTACTAGAAAAATAGTAGAAATTGATAGAATGATGTTTCTGATAGCCTTGTGTATCCAACAGAAGAGTTTCACAGAAGATTGAAATTAAAATTTGCTCTGAAGGGTTTCCTAGGTTCCTTCAAGAATTATTTTTTCTAGTTTTTTATTCAAAACATTAATCATATACATAGTTAGGCAGGATGAGTAGTGACATTATACAAAATTTCTGGAAAATGGAGGACCTTCTATTCCACACCCACTCCCTAAATTTCTCCGGGAGCTGTATGGATTATGTGCAGGTGGTTCTGGAATGTGAGTGGAAGCTGTTCATGTGTGTGTCTGGGAACAGTTGGAATGGACTGTCATAATCCCACAAGATTGCTGTATTTCTATAGGAGACAAGAATAAACATCGCCACTTAGCTGAATGGGAAGTTCATTCGACTTCATAAACTTGGAACAGTCTATGTGGGTAGAAAGAGTATAAGTGTACATTTCACAGTTCATAAAGCTGAGCGGCTCAACTTACAGAAGAGAGAACTTGGAGGTGTTTACAAGAGTCTGAGACGGAACTGATCTGATTGTTTGACTTCTCCCTCCCAGCAAGTCAGGTCCACATTTTGCATTTTAGCTGCTTGGCTTGGTTTATTGCTGATTTTCTTTTCTTATGGGGATATGATGATTTTAGCCATGATTTTATGGACACCCAAAAGGTCCTGTTTAGACAGACACTGCCCCCAAGCACCGTGGTCACTGTTCCAATGGCAGGGAAATTGCCAGAAGGAGGTGCAGTCAGCTTGACCTGGTTGGTTAGCAAAGGCTCTGCTTGTGGGGATCTCTGCACATCGCTTTTCACCGCAAAATCACAGCTCTCAGAAGGGAAGAACCAAGAACTGCTGCACGTCTTGTCATGATTCCCTCGGGGCTCTGAATGCCTTTGTCTAGTCAAGGTCTTCCTCAGACAGGAGCCCAGCTCAGCAGTGGCGATTACACTGATGTGCACCTTGGGAGATGCCAGAAGGTATTTATTACAATTAGACAAATTCCAAGTCAGAAAAACAATAATGAGAGACACAGGTACCTTCTGTCTCCAACAGATTCCAAGTTTTAATGGCCTTGGTCTTGGGGTTTTTATTTTGTAGCCCGTAACAGAGGCTGCCATTTCTTCCAACTGCGGGCTCTTTAAAGACAGCACACACTTAAGTCTCCATACCTCCAGCTGCCCAGAGGATTTCATGCCTGTCTTACCCCCACACACACAGTCTCAGCAACTGTGATTTTTAAATATAAACAATATAAGCTCGGAGAGGAAAGGGGCTGGGTCTTGTTTTCAGAATTGCCATGTGATACCAGGGGAGTATCTGGCACACAAAAGGTGCTCAACCAATGTTTGTTGCACAAGTGAATCAAAGACCACGATCCTTGCCTTCAAAGAGTCTCTGAATTGTCAATCAATGCCAACTTGGCATAAATATGCCAGGACTACAACAAATGGACAGAAAGAAAACCACTGTTGTTTGTGTAAAGTCTTTGCAAAGGAGAAAAGATGAAAGGAGTCAGCTGATTATAGTGGGTAACCAGCCTGGGAATCCCATACCAACTCATTTTCTTCCTCCCGAGTATTAGAATCATGTCCAAGTGTTTTAGAATGCATTCAGCCAACAAAAATGCAAAGCTTTTCAACTGTATCTTATCTGTTTTCATTTTAAAGGGAAGTCCTGAGAGGTTACCTCTTTCCCTCTCACGGAGGGATGCTTTTGAAAACATGAAGGTCTGATTGGTCCCCTGTTGTGTGGCGTGCAGTACTGGAAACCTCTTCATAGATCTGTCAGTTACTTAGGAGGTGCTCCTGTTTGACAGTTTTACAGGGTACTATTTTTACCTTGAGCAAAACCTCTACATTTTGGGAGACATATTAGAAGAAAATAAACATTTTTTTAAGAAAAGGAGATCTAAGATGGAAAATTAGAATAGGTATCAATTTGCTTGCACTCTAAGCCAGTAGATGGATTAAAAAATATCTTTCTAGTGCCAAGAATTAAGAGACATAGTCCACAGGTCTAACAAAACTAGACTGGTGAGCAGGAAGAGGAGATAATACAATATGACCCAATCTTGCATGTGATGCTAACACCTTGTTGGCTTATTGATCTCATCCAAAAGGCTACAGTTTGCACCTTGGTCACAGGTCTGTACGTCCAGAATCCAGGGACAGACTTTTCACAGGAGGTAGGGCTGTCTGGACGACAGCTTGCTCAGAGAACTAAAACTCTTCTAAGATTTATATCCCTTAAGGGAGTCAGGAATGCTGATGATACCACGATATTTTAGACTATTTGATCACATTTAGCAAAAAAATTCTCAGATCAATGTCCTGGGATTCTCGGAATGCTAATCATAATGTGTTTTCTTTGGAAGAGAGGAAAGACAAGGTTTATAAAATAAACACTCTTATTTGTATGTTTAAGAGTATTCCACATATGCAGCACACACAGCGGTAAACGATGGTACATCCGATTTCTGAGTCTTCCTAGAGCATGAAGCATGCTGAGGATACCTGACGTACTCAGTGCTTTCACCATCAGACAGAGGGCGAAGACCCTTCAACTTGAGAATTTTCATTCACCAGAAACTGTCATTTCCCCGGACATTAGCATGGAAGTAGATATGCAAAAAACCCAGCCAGACAATGGGCTGACAGACTTATTCTTCAGTACAGACCCTTCCCTGATTTGTTGCAAGTTTTCCATGATGAGAGGAAAGTTTTCATGTGACTGGATTCTGAGAATCTTTGAATCATCCTGTCCACTATTCCTAAGAGAATCGACTTAGCCAATGGTCCCCTACCTCAATGGATAAATGAAAGTGAACGCATGTTATCTAAAAATATCAGATTCAAAATTCAGTTTACATACATGTGTATATTGTGTACCTATACTTGTAGATACAGACATACACGCATATTTTGTTTCTTCTCTGCCTAATACAGCAATGGTTACAGATAAATCACTGTGGTCATGACTGACTTGTATTTCTAAGGACATCCTTAGAAACGAGTTGATATATCCTCTATCAACACAAGACTTTTGCCAAAATGCCATTTGGTAAAAAGATCCCCACCAAGCATGTAACATTAAAGTGTCATTTCATATTGCGAACATTTTCAGGCACAAGAGTAAAACAACTAGCATTAAGCAATCCAAATGACAGAACACAGAATATACAGTTAATTGTCTAAAGTCAACTCCCTCCAAGAAAGGGAATTGTTGTTCAGAAGTGTTTTTTTTTGTTTTTTTTTTTTTTTAAAGATTTTCATGTCTTTCAGCTTTGGCTATTTTGTGATAAATATCATACCTTCTCACATAAACCTACTTGGGGAACAGTGATTTCTCTGAACACGCCTTTTTCTCCTTCTAGCAGCTGCTGAGTGTTGAGTGACGTACAAGGCACACCTCTAAGTGTTCTGTACAGCATTTTTATTGATGTACAAAATAGCCTGCTCACCATTCAAAAATGTAATCTGCATAGTAAGTTTCTCTCATCCTTATTTACAGAGAAGGTTTGTAGTGCAAAAACATGAAACTGTGCCCAGCTCAGCCCTGGCAGCACGTGCAGCGAGCAGTTCTGCTCTGGGCTAGCTGGGGGGTATTTGGCTATATTTTGGGCCTCCAGCCATTAATGAACTGCATTATCTTCTTCACCTGCAGTTTGCTCAGTTTGAAATCCTCTGAGAGGATCTCTTCTGTTAGTTGAACAAGCAAATTCCCATCAATCTTTTCGGTAACGAAGAATGATATGACGTCTTCAGACAAACCAATAAACCTTAGGGACTTGGACACTTCTTCTACAGAGAGTCCCGACAGATCGGCAGGTGGCTGCCATGGGGAGCCGTCCCCACAGGACCTGGGGGCCAGCTGGAGGTGCAGCGGAGACGAGAAAGGGTAGGAGACGGAGAAGATGTCCTGCACGCCCTTTTTAACAAAATACTGGTCCTCAGAGAGGTCTGGCGACCCCAGCTCGGGGTCTTCCTCAGCACCATCGATTTTCAGAGGCAGAGGAGATGTTTCCGAGGCTGCTTTCTCTTCCACTGGTTTTGGAGCCCTGGGGGGCAACGCAGGGCACGAGACGCTCTGCTTTGTCATGCCAGCCGGGACAGTGCCCTCATCCGTGCTCTCCAGGGAGTAGCTGGCTGACTTGGGACAACCGGAGACGCTGCTACTGAATTCTGCCGTGACCGAGCCAGGAGGGCTGCTCAGGGGCTCACAGCCGTCGAAGTCAAAGGGTGCTGGGCAGTTTCTCTTTGGTGTGCCTGGCGTCTTCTGTCGAGGGTAACTGTAACTCCTGCTCGGATCCAGCAGGAAGTCGCTCCGGGTCTGGCTCTCGGATGCTCCCGAATAGTGGTTAGGCCACGAGAGCCTGGAGGACAACGGTTCCGCAGAAGGACTTCCGAACGGGGACTTGAGGTCCACAGAATCTGTTTTCCCTCGGCTGCATGGATAACAGGAAACGGGAGCACTTTCAGAAGGACTTGTGTCACTTTTAGTAACGCTGCTTGAAAGGAATCAGAAAGGGAAATCAGTGGAAATCACACAGCATAGGCAAAACAAGTCAAATCTCACATCTTCTCTTATCAACAGATGCTACCTCCAAGCATAAAAAGACAGGAAAAAGTATAATAGCTTAAATTATTCAATAAAGCACCTGCTAACCTCATTGAGTTTCTAAGAAACAATATTTATTAAAATACATGAACAATTATGAATTTGTGCCTAATGACTTAAAACACTATAGAAGAGACAGAAATGAGACAGCTAAAAGCAAGTCATTATTAGTGGGTGCCTGTATCTTCACAGTGAGAAAAATTCTGAAGTCCTGTTTGGCATTGTGCCAACAGGTCTCAAGATTGATTAGTGATGCCTGCCATGCACAAAGGAGGAGTCAAAGAGTGGTGAATGGCTGTCTCATGCTTGTCATCCTTGTGTGACGTCACCAGTACCTCCACCCACAGGTCTGAAATAGGAAGATAAATGCCTGGTTTCTCTAGCACTCAGAGGCAGTAGCTGAAGGATTCAAATAGCCAGAGAACCAAGAACACCTACAAAGAGAGCTACTTTAAACTGTAAAGAGCACACGTGGGGTGGGGCACTCAGTCAGCTCTGGGGCTGTGCTGGAAGAGAGATGGTGAACCAGAGTGTGCTGAGAGGTGGGTGTTGGGCTGAGGGAGCAGGCAGTGGCCTCAGAGGCAACAGCCTATGCAACGGAAACTGCTTCTTTTGGAAGAGAAAGACGTGCATTGAAGCTGGCTTCACAGCCTCAGGGGCTGACCAAGAGAAGTGGGGTGGATCTATCCGATTCTCTAGACAGAAGAAAGCATGGAAAGTTACATGGAGATAGATTTTAACTTTATAAATATGAAAGATTTCTTTTAAAAAAATACTGGCATTTGCTAACAATGGAAGGTGTTGCAAAAGAAGGCGCTCAGAGCACTAGAAGGGTCCAGAGGAGGGCACAACTCCCCAGCTGTGGTCGAGAAGGGAAATCCTGAGTGGAGAGCCAAGGGAGCCCTAGTGCTGGCTGAGGGTGCCACCTGCTTGTGTCAAAGTCAGGGTGGAAAGAACGGGATGCTGGCTCGTGAGCAATAAGGGCAGTCCAAAGGCTGTTTCCATTTGGCAGTCACCACTGAATTTCTCAGATCCTTGGTGCACCCTTTCTTCCCAGGACACTGGTCCTTCCCTTTCAACTGAAAAAACCAACTCATCATGCTCTTCTGGCAAAATCACTAAAAAAAAAAAAAATTTCCTCTCTGGCCACCCTGCCAGGTGTGGGCTACCTTGGAAAGAGTCTCCAGAACCTGTGGGCCGGCGGAGGAGCTCAGGTTGCAGAGGGCCCCGCAGCAGGACTTACATGTTGTGCAGCCCCGAAGAGTAGTAGGACAAAGTGGGGCTGGGAGAGCGAGTCTGCGGCCGCGCTGGCTTGACCGTGCGAGGAGGGACGGAGGGGCTCGTGGACAAAGGCTTTGCACTTCGGGGCGGAACAGGTGGGGCGTTCAGGAGCCGGCATTCTTCCCTGACCTGGGGCAAAAAAGAATACTTCAGGTTAGCAACAGACTGGGGACCGCAGCTGGACCCTGTAAGGCAAAGTGGCTTCTCAAACAGTGATGTCAGGGGTCAAGAAATGGAGAGACAAGACTGGAGGAGCTCACGAGACAGATGGTTAGGGGTTGCCATTATGGTGTAGCAGGTAAAGCTGCCACCTGCAATGCCAGGATCCCATAGAGGTGCCGGTTCAAGTCCTGGGTGCTCCACTTCCAATCCAGCTCTCTGCTAATGTGGCTGGGAAAGCAGCGGAGGATGGACCAAGTGCTTGGGCCCTTGCACTCACTTGGGTGACCTGGAAGAAGTTCCTGGTTCCTGGCTTTGGACCGGTCCAGCTCCAGCCATTGTGGCCATTTGGGGAGTGAGCCAGTGGATAGAAGATCTCTCTGTCACTAACTCTGCCTTTCAAATTAATAAATAAATCTTCAAAAAAGAATAAAGAAAGATAATTAAACACAGAGGCTGCCAGAGATCAAATCAGATGCCTGTCACGTACTTGCTGGGACCAGGCTGATTTTGAAAGAAACTTCTTGGCCAACATTAGTTGCTGCTGAAATACAGCAAGTGAGGCAGAATACAGCCAGAAATGTGATGCCACACAAAATGGAAGTATTAAAAAAGTAAGGACATAAGGAGTTCATGATCTTGATAGAGAATTCAACTCTCAGGTTGAGTTGTTTATTCAATGTTAAAACAGAATTCAGCTGGACCACACCTTAGGGAAACACAGACTTTTTACAGGCTTACATCTTCTCAAATGGGGGTCGGCATTGTGGCGTTGTGGCGTAGTGGGTAAAGCCAACGCCTATGATGCCAGCATCCTATGTGGATGCCGGGTCTTGTCCTGGCTGTCCCACTTGCAGTTCAGCTCTTAGCTAATGGCCTGGGAAAAGCAGCGGAAGATAGCTCAAGTGTTTGGGCTCCTGCTACCCATGTAGGAGACCTGGATGAAGCTCCTGGATTTGACCTGGCCTAGTCCTGGCTGTTGTAGCTATCTGGGGGAGTGAATTGGTAGAGGGAAGATCGATCTCTCTCTCTCTCTCTCTCTCTCCCTTTCTCTATAACTCTTTCAAATAAATAAATAAATCTTAAAAAAAAACTACTTCTCAAATGTAAATATGCATGGCAATCACCAGGGATCTTGTTAATACACAGACCCTAATTTAGGGGACTCAGGGTGGGCCTGGGAAGTCTGTGTTTCTAACAAGCTCCCGATGATACTATAGCCCTAGGAACCTACTTTGAGAAACAAAGTTGAAGGTGAAGAAATGAGGCTGCTGCCCAGATCTAATCACCAGTATTTTCTGTAGAAGCGGCTTCCAGCTCCCTCATCCTCTTTTTGTCTTCACACTGGCAAAGCTGCAAATGACCTGTGACGTCCACGGTTTTGGGAAGTCCGCCTGCCATTTCCCCCTTTGCTTCCCATTCCCCACTGTCTCAAAACAGTTTTCGATCACAGATACTCTGCATGTACTTCTTTGTGTCCGGCAGCAGGGGGCAGCTTATACCTGGTTCTGCTAAGTCTACCCAAACCACCCCAGCACAACTAGAGCCAATTGCGACTATCAAAAGTGCTGAGCTTTGAAATTCCCTCGCCTACTTTTAGGACATGTTCCCACCAATTTTTTCACCTCTGCCTCCCATACCTTTCTTTCCAAGCGGTTGTGGGGCAACTAACATAATGAAATAGGCAGCTCCCCTTAGCTTTGCTGCTGAGTTTGCTCAAGACAACATGAAATGGACTTACGTGTTAAATGTTGCATCTTTGTGCTACCCAGGCTGCACACTGGGCCTCCAACCAGTATTCCACACCTGATTCACTTGCCAAAGAAAGCCAGCCATTAACAAAAGCCACATGACCTCGTGTGGCCTGGAAGCCTTGATGCTAAGTGAAATGAAGCAGTCTGCAAAGCTTCTTGGGGCTGGGGCCCACTGGGGCTACCTGCACAATCCATGGCCCTGCTACAGAGGCTGCTGGGTTGCCAAGGAGGGAGTTTTTTAATCCGGAGAAGATCTTTAGGCTAAATAAAACATTCACAGAAGCCGATTTCTTCCCCCGCACTGGTGGGCTCCTCCCTTTTGAGCTTCTACAGTGGTGGTGTTGGGGTGTGGGGTGGCGGTGGCAGGTGACTGCTGGAAGAAAACATAGTGGGAAGCAGGGTTTGGAGAAAGAGGAGGGGACCCTTGAGCTGGGTCAGAAACAGGATCTTGCACTCTATGGGATCTTCTTAGGAGGCCTTACTTCTGGCTGGATCTCCCCACTCCCCGGCTTTTGGGGGCACTAATAAAATATAGTGGTTACGAAGTATATCCATTGTGTCCTCTGCCTTCTTGTTAGTGATGTGCACAGTAGCTGAGTGTTTCTTTTCCCTCTTGGAAACATCTATACAACCTAGGAGAGATGGCTGTGACCGTATCACAGGTGAGCTTGGTTTTCTTGAGGCTTCCATAACAGAAGTCATAGAAAATAGGAGGAGGCTGCCAGTTGGATTTTTAATTTTTTAAATAAATACTCAGTCACTTCTTAATAATGGGTTAGATTGGAACGAGAGGAAAACATGGAGAGTGCTGAATTTAGAATTTCTCAATTCTGGAATTAGTCACGAAATGTGACATTTCATCAGGGAGTGCTTACCTGAGATGTCAATTGTAACATGAGAGCTTCAGAAAGTTCACGGGGGGCTGGGACAGCAGGTTAAGCTGTTGCCTGCATCACTGCTTTCCCTATCATAGGAGCGCCAGTTCGAGTTCCAGCCGCTCCACTTCTGATCGCTGCAAATGTGACTGCTCCAGGGAAGTCTTATTTCCCTGAGTTTCATGGGAAGAATTCTATGGCTTGGCAGAACGCATTTGTTCTGGGATTTGGAAGTTATAGAGAGTGATAGTTTATTGTCTTCTTTCCTGTCTCATATTCCCCTAGAACGGTAGCCATCCCATTTTTCTTTGGTTCTTGATTTGATTCAAATGAGACATTTATATTCCAAGATGAAGGTAGCTGTGCTTTAAATGGATTTTATCTGACAATAAAAGGCGATTTACAAGCCTGGATAGCCGTCACACCATTCCCAGTTTTCCTTCATATTCTATTTCACATATAAGTGCCACATTTTCAGCACATCCCTTCCAAAAGCCTCAGCATGTGGCTTTCATCACGTTCGTACTTTGTCATCTCTAGCAGGCCCCCTAAGGTTACCGGATAAGGGCCGGCCTACAGTCGGCCTCTCCAATTATTTCCCCCTACTTCTCTATACAACACAGGTCCATCTAAAGCAGTGGGTTCAGTGTCACCTGCACATACCCTGTGCTTTCCCACCTGGGGTTTCCACTGCCCACCTCTATCTAAACACCCCTTGCTTACAGCCCAGCCCTGAATGCCACGTGCATGTCCATCACACACAGCCATTAGGTCTCATCTCTGTTTCTGAATTTTGCTGAACACTGTTTCACTCACTTACTCCGCATGTATATTTAATTAGAGAGCTAAAGTGGTAGGTGCTGTCAGCATTGTTACATGGAAGGCAGAGTTTGGGGATCTGTCACCTCTGGCACATGTCGCATGCATTGACAGGCAGAGATTAACAGATGTCACTAAGAATACAACAAAAAGGTACTGTAATTTTTAAACACAGATCATAGACTGCCTTTTGTGATTTTATGCAGAAATTGTTGAAAATTCATCTGGCTGGGTGTTAGTGTTTTTGGTGATACCTTTATTAGTGTCAATCTAGAGGAAAAAAGCTGCCTGCAGACCTGGCACACAGGCCGGCATTAAGTCCACCTTCACCTCCACCACTCTGACTTAGAATAGAGTGAAAATGACAGTGACTTCCTTCCAGACCAGGAACAGTTGTGGCTTTGTTAGCAATCCTCAGAGGATTCACTATTCCAACGTGAGAATGTAAAAGAAACATTTCGAGCTCTGTAGACTGGAGCCCTCCTATTTACTCCCAATGCAGCATTTCAGACTGGACTTTAACTGGCAACACCAGGAGGAACAGCTGCCTGTAAGATCAGGAAGCAACTTCCAGCACTAAGCCAAGGGGCTGGCCTTCTGTGATGAGGTGGGCGTTGCCATCCAACACAGACTATGGGTGATCTTTGCCTATCTGTAGGCAACGCCTGGCTATGGGATGCATGGGTGTTCACAGAGAACCTCCGGGCACCAAAGTCCTCCTGTTTAGGGTACAGTCAATGAGCACAGCCCAGGTTCAGGTGACAGCGTGGAGGGCTGCCTCCATTTGTCACTAGGGCCTGGCTCTAGGAGCAGCTCCCTGGTGCGCAGCTTTTCTCTGCATCTGCTCCACTTCTAGCATAGCCCTCCCCTGCCTGCTCCTCACGAAGCTTTGCCTTTTCCAAAGTGGCCAGTGATTCAATTCTTATCAAATCAGAAAGACCACTATCCTCACGTCAGTACAACTCTCCTTGGTTCTCATGTAGCAGACTGTGCACCCAGAGTTAGTATAAAGCTGGTTTATCAAAAGGCGGCCAGTGAGTTCTCTTCTCAGGTTCACAGGTCAGAATCCGAGGGAGGCATAGTCAAGTGACTGCCATTTAACGCACTAAAATCACCTGCTAGTGAGAACTGAAGTCATGGGTACCGTCCACTCCCACTATTCCTGAATCTGAAGAACATGGCCCTTTTCCTTTTTCTACATATGATATTAATTCCATTTTGCTATTCATTTGTTCATCTAATCCATGTGTTTATCGTGGGCTCACTGAGCTTGTGTTAAGTATACAAAATCAAGACACTTGTGGAATTAGTTATGCGTGTGTGAGACACAAACACAAGCAAGCTACACTTTGGCAAGTGTAATGACAGAGGCATGTGCCAGCGTATGTGGGAGCACCATGAGTCTATTCAAGACATGCAGGAGGAGAATAAACTCCTAGGGAATTCTACTGAGAAAGTTCTGAGGAAAATGGACTGTGAGTGTCCAAATGCAGCAGGTGCTGCTGAGGTTTGGGAGTTTGGA